TTTTTAATAAATATGTATCTCATACTAATAGCCACCCGTATGTCTAAACATGAATATACATATGCACTTCACGTGCGGCCGCTGCTCCGTGGATTCGCGCGGCCTGCGTATAATATTATACGAAAATTTACAAAACTGTAGGAGGCAAATGTATTGTATTATGTATCAATGTATTCGGAAAGAAATTTCCGTTCATTTTTATCGTTATATAAATTTTTGTATACAAATAAATTATAAAAATAATGTAACAACAAATTTTTTTGTTATAAAGAAATTACATTTTACAAAATCTGTGACCACTTTTTGTTTTACCTCATGAAACCATGAAACTTTTCCCTAAGAAGATTTCGTATATCTATTGTAGTTTTTGAGATAGCACTTTTCTGTTGAAACTTCAAGGGGTGATTTCAACCCCTAAACTTACGATTGGGCAGTTATAAAAAATACGTATCCCTTATTTTCACCTGCTTAATTGTATCCACCAAGTTTCATTAAAATCGAAGACGGACAGTTGGATATGTTCCCTTGTTAGAACTCTGTAGGAGTGAATGGGGTTAAAAGATATTATGTAGAAATAATATCAGCTTTCACGAGCGAAGCCGCGGAAGAAAAACTAGTATATATATATGATTATATAGACTTATTATATTTACTTGTTGATACCGATTTCAATACGTATAAGTAAACTAGCTGCACCCCGCGGTTTCACCCGCGTGGAATACTATGCATTTCTTTTATGTTGTTTGCGTTCACTGATTCTTCGTGAATCAGTGGGTGACTGCCTTTTGTTTTCCATAACTGAGATGTTTCAATCGATATTTCTCATTGTGAGTATAACGATGCCACAACTTCATTTCAAATTTTGAGATTTCAAATCGAAACCGTATTTTTATCAAAATAAAACATAGCCTGTATTACTCAGGGATAATGTAGCTTTTTATTAGTGAAAAAATATTGAAAATCGGTTCAGTAGTTCCGGAGATTAGCCCGTTTAAACAGACAGACAAATATTGCAACCCCTTTTTACCCCCTTAGGGATTGAATTTCGAAATATCCTTTCTTATTCGTTGTACACATCACAAAGAAAACCTCTGTACAAAATTTCAGCTTTCTAGGTTCACGGGTTTAGCCGTAATAAGTCAGCGAGTCAGGCCTTTTATTTTTATATTATATGTATAGATATAATACAAACTACACATGTCGTGTTTAGTCTCATTTCAATCAGAAAATTTTGACAGATACGCAGGTAAAAGTTTCAGTAAGAAAAATTGAAAAATAAGAGTTTCATCGCTGCATTTGCAATAGTCATACCAATATTCAAGTTCGGAACATGTGTACAACATTCCACGTAACGCTCTCTCACGTCTGTTACTACTGCAGCGAAAGCGCTAGTTAATCAGTTTTGTGTCATTTGCACTACGGTGGAGACGCAGAGGATAGTCAGGGCCGTCGCTACGGGATTCGCTTAATCGGCGCCACGCGCTATCGGTTTTTGTATTACATTTACATGTTCCAGATAAGTAATTCTTCATTTTTAATATTTCATTTATACTGCAACTCAACAACTGTTTAAAGTTGTCCACTGTTTAAATTTTAATCATTAATTTCCCGTTTCTGTATCTTCAATTATTCGACTTTTGCTAATTTGGTATTGAGCAAACTTTATTTAGTTAACTTTAACTTAGTAAACTTTATTACTATAATTGTATATTTTGTTGCTAATTTTTAATGAAAACTGCTACCTATAAAAAATCTCTTTAGAGCAGAGTTTACCCCTCAAACAATAACTTAAATAACAAAAGATTAAAGTATCGAAAAGTAGAAACATTAAGCTTTAAAATGGTTTTCTATTCGTCAATGTGTGGTGAATTTTAACGAAGTTACGAGAATTTGATTGTTGTTATTCAAGCACGTGACGACGATTGTGCAGAACGCATGACGACGGCCCTGGTTCACAGTTCTAAATTAATATTTTCTAGATCTGTACGAACTAGGAAACGTTCCAACATTTACCGCGGGTGGTTTTCTCTTCAGAAATGTTTGCAGAATCAGATAACGTAGTGTAAATTCGACGTAGGTGAATAACTCTTCATTAAAATACAAAAGTATATCATGAAAAATTCACGCATCATCACCTTTTTGAAATTCGGTGTTCATTTACAGGCATTCAAAAGAGCAGATAATTCTAAAGGAATATGTCTTCATATTCAGAAAACACTCCTCTATCTTTTAAGACTAAATGGAACTTTCTAGCGTTCGTAGTTTTAAAATTAGCCTATTTTCAAATCACTGTAACTCGGTGAAAAATCACCGTAAAATTAAAAATGAAAAAACGTTTTATAGCTTGAAATGTCAACTTTACCGTAATATTGCTAGTTTAAACAAATTTTTGTTGTGTTTTTCTTTTTTTCTCGAAAAAGACAACAAAAATTTTACCTACAAAATGTTGTTTTAAAAACCTGTTTACGATTTTTTTTTCTAATTTTCACGATTTTTAAAGTTAACCCCCCTTTTCTCTAAAGATGACGTTTACCGCCGACATTAGCGTTATCGAATACGCTGATACGAGTGTATTACATATTATAAAAATATATCATTTTGATGACTAATCATTGTCATCGGATGAGTTTTCATAAAGCGCTATAGAACACTGATCAGAATCGCTATCTTCTTGTATTTGAACATTTTCACGCGAGTCATCGGAACTTTCTAAAGCAAAATCTATTTACAAAGAAAATATTGAGTATTTGCATTACAAAATTTTACTATATTGTATATTTAAACATTATATACCATAAATTATGTATACAATATTGCTGTGATGACTTTTACTTCATACAATTATTATTGTTATTATTATTTAACTTCAATAAGTCATGAAATTTCACGGCGCGCATACGTGTCGCTCTTCAATTTATCAAAGAATCAAATCATTCAAAGTTTGCGAGACCAAATTTTTCTAACGCTGTATATTACTTATGGTTTATACAAAAAGTTTTAGCAATGATAATTCTAGCCAAACTACTTCGTTTTTCTGACAAGGTTTTCCAATCCCCCTAACTTCACGTAAACTATAATGAATATCATTTGAAACAAAATCCAAGATATCTAACAAAAATATGCATTTTGTATTGAAAAAATATAAAAAACTTCGTAAATTAATAAATGAATAAAAATATATAACAATAAATTTATTGCAATATAATTTTTTATGGCAGAAGGACATATAAACAATTTGCAAATGACAATATATAACATCTTTTATTCGTAACTTTTGTGTTTATTCCATTTTAATTAAACAATTCAATCATGATAACGTAGAAGACGATTACCTCGAAAGGACTACCATGAAACGTCTCAATTTCTTATGAATATCATCAATTAATATAAATCGAACTATAGCAAGCAATGCATGCACTGACTCCATTATGCACTACTTACATCCGATTTACATTGGGCAAAAAAAGTCTGCGCACGAACACGCGCAATTGTCAAAAGAGTCTAGAATATGTTTAAAAATTTAAAAAAATGCTGTGTCTTTATAATGAAATGCGGAATATACAACTTTATATCATATCGTGACAAAAGATCACACAAAAAATGTCTGCGTACAAAGATTCTCTTATATACTAATACGTCCATTGTACGGGAAAAAAATTAATTTAATACTTTGTCGCATAGCCTTCATGCATTTATTTATTTATTATTCTTCGTTTCGTTTCCTCCAAATCATTGTTCTTCCATCGGATCCAAATAAATTTGACAGGATTATAACACCACGTAAGTTGGATAAGTATATTTAATTAACAAGAATATGAATACATATATATATCTTTTATGGAAAACTGCATTTTTATATATATATATCGAGCACATGTTAATGATAACAGCTCGTGATGCGGACTAACCTAAACGAACGTCGCGAGGACGTGCGTAGAGTAAGGAACAAAAGACGCGATAGTCTACGACGTACATCGCAGCGATCAAATCAAACTGAACACATATGGATTGCTTTCTCACACCCCCTCTATCGATATGTGTTCTCTAAACTAACCGAAACTAAACATTATTGTGAACATGAGTATTAACTAAAATTAAACATTATTTTGAACATAGGTTCAACATTTCAACGCAACGCTCATGCTTCGCTTTGGTTAACGCCTTGGTAAGAATGTCGGCTAACATAGAGTCCGTGCTTAAATAATGTACGATTATTTGATTGTTTTCCACTAACTCACGCGTAAAATGAAATCTGATATCAATATGTTTGTTCCTTTTATGGAACTGCATTTTTTGATAGTTCAATAGCGCTTTGATTATCACAATAAACATCAATCGGGTCACTTATTTGTTCTTTAAAGTCTATGTGATTTAACAGTCTTTTAACATAGATAACTTCTCGTAACACTTCAGCAAGGGCGGCGTATTCAGCCTCCATCGTAGATAGAGCGACTGACGATTGCTTTACGCTTTTCCAACTTATTGGACCGCCCGATAACACTAATAGATTTCCCGTGCACGACTTCCGGTCGTCGACGTCTCCTGCCCCGTCTGAATCCGAATTTGCTTTTAATTTTTCGTTGTTTCTTATATATGTAATACAATATTTCGATGTCGCTTTAAGATAGCAGAGTACACGTTTCGCGAAGATCCAATGCATTTTTCCTGGGTTAACGCAGAATCGACTTAGTGTAGCGGCTGCAAAAGCAATATCAGGACGTGTGGCATTTGCAAGATGAATTAGCGCACCAATTAATTTCCGGTACGGTTTATGTTTCATTTCGTATATTTCTTTAGGTGTCTGTGGGCATATCTCCGTTGTAATTTTCGTATTTGATTCGATTGGAGTTGACACACTTTTTGCTTCCTGCATACCGAATCTTTCAATTGTCTCTTTAATGTATCGCTCCTGGGATAGTCGAATTTGTCCTGTTTCTTCATCGCGTTTAATGCTAATCCCTAATACATTCTTCGCTGGCCCCAGATCTTTCATTTTAAACGTTAATTTTAACTTAGACTTAATCGCTTCGAGTTTCTCTATTTTTCTAGATGCTAAAATTATGTCATCGACATAAATAATAAGAATTACACGGTTTTCTTCCGCTCCTAACACATATACGCATGGATCTGCAGTTGTGCGCCTGCCTCTACTACTTAATATGAAGCTGTCTAATTTTTTTTACCATTGGCGCCCAGACTGTTTTAGACCGTATAGTGGTTTTAATAATTTGCACACTTTCTTCGAGTCCTTGACGAACAAACATTTCCGGTTGCTCCATATATGTTTCTTCAATTAGTTCGCCCTGTATATATGCTGCCACGACATCCATTTGATGAA